ATATACAGTTTGAAACATATGAAATTGATGCTTTTGTAGGTCAGAGTGAGTAAATATCAGGAATTTCATGTAATTCATATTATTATTTAGTATTATTAAAGTAATACTAAATACTAAACACGAAAAATACTATTAAAGTCAGCTTGCAAGTCAAGCAAACTTGCAAAATGCTCAAATAGGGATATCTGTTCTTTAAAAGGGAAGGGGGAGCAAATTCTGACGCTGCCATGATAATTTATCTCTTTAGATATTCAACAAAATCCACATAACACCCAAACTTACTAGCAGAAAACTCATGCCTCCACACTTTTACAACAGATTGCATAATTTTCATATCTCATTTCCCACCACTTCCCACAAAAACCTAGTGATAAATCCAGAGCATATGAACTAAGTTCTGGAATGTTCTAAATTTTCCATGCTTAGAGTGGCCTCCCTACCCCTCCACCAACAGAACCTTTACTCATTAAGACATATTTCAAACAGCACTTCCTCTTGGATGCTTTCCTGGATACCCTCAAGAAGAATTATTTCTTCCTCTTCAGTGGTTCGATAAGACTTTATTCTTATTTAAATTTTTAGCACCTATCACATTTAATTGTCAACATTTGGTTTTGTGCCTGACTTGCTCACTAGGTTATATTTCCACCAGGAAAGCACTGTTCCTTCTCTTTAAATCTTCTATACCCAGCATAAATTGAATAAATAAAAACCCGAAAAACATTTCTCAACAAAATTGAATTTTATCTTTCCATCACCTTTTGTTCAGAGTCAAAGATGAATTCAAATGCTTAGGTAGTAGTGCATTAATAGTATCTGGAAACATGAGAAGGAATAAACATGAGTAGCCTATGAAGAAAGTCAATCAGCTTTGTTTTAAAGTTATGAAGCTTTAGATGCCATGAATTGTACTATATTTATACCCAAATCTTTGCACACAGGCATGTCAGTAAGTCAACAACTTTTGCTGAGCACTGTCTCAGTAAAAGTTGTTCAGGTGTAGTTAATTCTCTTCTGTGCAATTTGAATTCTCGGTCCAAGGTTAAATTGATCACTCCCAAATAATTGACCAATATTTGTGAAATTATTTGCACAAATGAATGAAGACAATTTAATAAAGAGAAGGAGAAAAGAGCTATGTTTTTAAAATGCCTGCTATATGTCAGACACTGTGCTAGAGTTGTTCCAAATGTTCATGCATTTACCTCTCTGAGAACTGACTTTGCCAAGGTATACGCTGACACAGACGGAGCCAGGATACAAACGAAGAACTCCCTCACTCTGAAGTCTTCGCTCTTTCTCCTACACATCCTGCCTTATAATTCCCAACAGCTACACTTCAATAATATGCCTTCACTTATTCTACTCTTTATCAACGAC